AAGCACCTCTGAGAGAAAGCCGCCCTCGAGCTCTGCCCAATGCCAGACAGTCCACTTTCTCCCTGTATGAGTCTGGGTCCCCAGTGATTCGCCTGGAACTGGAGCTCAGAGCAGTTTGGAGCTTGAATCTCCCTCCTGATTGAAGAAGACACAGGTGTCCTCTGTTGCCAGCCCTTTCTGCGAGTGAGCCTCCATACCTCTGCACTTTACTTCCTCACCTCCTTTGAGTCTCAGTGTGCTTTTCTCTTTCCTTCTAGTTGTAGAATTTCCACTCAGCCAACCTTCCTGTGGTTCTGGATGATGTTCGTTTGTCTTTTAGTTGTATTTTTGAAGTGGTTGTAGGAGGTAGCAATTTCCAGTGTTTACCTATGCCGCCATCTTGATTTCTCTCTCTCATTGCATTATTAATTTGCATTACACTTATGAGCAAAGTTCAACCTTAGTGTTTCGTTTCCTGTGAAATATTTGTTTAAATCCTTTGCTTTTTAAAAAAGTACCTTTTTATTGATTTCAAAGAAAAGGAGAGGGAGAGTGAGATAGAAACATTACTGATGAGTATCATTGATCAGCTGTCTCCTCCATGCCCCCTACTGAGAATTGAACCTGCAACCTGGGTATGTGCCTTAACTGGGAAATTAAACCCTGACCTCCTGGTTCATACATCAGTGCTCAACTACTGAGCCACACTGGCTGTCCCAAATCCTTTGCTTTTATGTATTTGGTTGCTTGTATCTTTATTGAACTGTAAGTGTCTTTATACAGTAGGGAAATGACCTTTTTCCATATAAAGGGCAGTGAAATAATTTTTAATGAGTTTATCCTTAATCTTTTGGTTTAGTTTGTGTTTTCTTCTCTGGTCACATTTGATCTGTTACTATTTTATTAAATTTATTCTGGATTTTGTTTCATCATAAAGGCTTTTCTCCACTTTAAGACTTAAAAATAATTGTTCGAAAGTTTCCCAACCCTTTTAAGTTGTATGTCTAAACTTTAAATACAATCTGGCAATTATTTTGGTATGAGTTAGGGATTCAGTTTTTTCCAGGTGGTTACCCTTTTCTCCCAGTACCATAGTTTGAATTTAAATGTAGAAAATTTGAAAGTTGATTGCAATATTACTTTTTAGTATTTTCTTATTTGCTATGAAACTTAAATTGCTGACCATATGAAATACGTATCCTTTCCATTCATTAAACAGCTACTGTGCACATGCAATGTAGTCAGATATTAGGAATAAATTGTTGTATAGAGAAGGCTCTGACCCTGACCTTTAGTTGCTTATAGTCTGGTAGATTTATCACACTATCTATATCAGCCGTGGGCAAACTATGGCCCGCGGGCCGGATCCGGCCCTTATGAAATGAATAAAACTATTGAAAAAAAAAGACCGTACCCTTTTATGTAATAATGTTTACTTTGAATTTATATTAGTTCAAACAAACACTCCATCCATGCTTTTGTTCCGGCCCTCCGGTCCAGTTTAAGAACCTATTGTGGCCCTCGAGTCAAAACGTTTGCCCACCCCTGATCTATACTAATAAAGGGGTAATATGCTAATTAGACCCGTCATCCTTCCAGACAAAGCCATGGTGGCAGGGCTGAGGCAGAGGTGGTTAGGGCGGATCAGGCTGGCAGGGGAGAGCAGTTAGGGGCCTCTAGTAAGCATATATGTATGTTAACATCTTGCCTTTTTATTTATATTTTCTCCCTAACTTTCTATTATTATGAGAATTTAAAAATAAATAGAACATGGAAAGAATAGTACCATGAATATCTGTAACACTGTGCATGCTGTTATCCCCCACTCTTCTCTCTGTGACATACTGTGTGAAAATAAATTATACACATTCCTAAGATCTTAGCATCTGTTTGCATTTATTATTTCTTAGTTAAGTAAATTTGGTAATTATTTCCTCTGTCTGTTTGTCTAGTTTTGTGAAGAGGGGGGGTTATCATAGTCCTTATCATATAGTGGTTTTCTAATCAATACAGGTTGGGGCAAAATTTGGTTTATCGTTGTGTGTAACCAAAACATGGTTGGTTATTCTTGTATTAGTTATTAATTATTGTATTTTCTGTATGAACAACTGTAAACATAGTTTTGCTCCTCCCTGTGTGTGCTGAATGAATGAGTACTTTATGCCGTGGGTTGCTATTAAATGATTTCAGGATAAAGTATAATATGGAATGAGTTATGGTTTAAAAAGAGAATTCTGTTGTCTTTATGGAGGAGGGCAACTTGAAGGAAACTTTCATTTGGACTCTGTATCAGTTAGGACTTGATTATAAAGAGGAATTTATTCTGGATCATACCCAGGGAATGATTTGAAGAACCAACCACACTGAAGGTTTCATCTGGTCTTCAAATAAAAGCAAGGCTGTTGTTTGTATCTCTATTTTTAATGTTTGCTTCACTATATGTTTTTGTCAGTTCTAACTTGGCTGCTCATGGACCAATTAAATGTGTTTCGGGGTTAGGATTTGTAAGAATATGGTTGCTTCTTAGATACTTATGTGGATTGAGTTAGTACACTGTCAACAGGAAGAGATATAGGATGTTGGAATGGTGCCAAGTGGAGGAAATGGATTTGGAGAATTAGTCCAGGGAAGGGGAATTGGAGTATCTCTCTTTTCTATCTTGAGCAAACGGCTGGTTTGGTGATACTGTTAATCAAATGAAAGAAATACTAGAAGAATATACTTGGAATGGGAGCAGGATGAGTTTGGTTTTAGAGGTACTAAATTGGAGTCCTTAGAGAAGCTAGAATAATATAAATATCTGACTCTGGTCTAAGCTGAAGTGCTTAGGAAGTCTGCAAAGCCAAGGCTATGGTAGTGTAAAAAGTAGTCCAAGAGTATAAAATGAGAATATAACTGGAATGTTGGAGGAAAGCTGATATTGAGTGCATAGAGGAAGAGGTGTATAGACCAGTTTAAAAGGGAGGAAGAAATATAGAGTCAGAAAAACCAAAGGAATTTTATCCAGGAGGGATATGCCACATAAGGGGTATGCCACATAAATCCTAATGGATTTGACCATTAGGAGATCATTGATGATCTTAATGAGAGCATTTCCAATGCAAAATTGGGAACCAGATTGCTTTCATCCAGGCTCAAGGTGAAGTAGGAATAAACCACTGTAGACTTTTTCCTACAAGTTTGACTGTGAAATAAAGGTGAATGAAAGAGAAGAAATACAAAGCTGGAAACTTTTTGTTGTTGTTTTATTTTGGAATAAGAGAGACTTGAGCATATAGTTTAAAACGGTAAACACTTTTAAAATTTATTTTAGCTTGGATACACTTCATTTTTATTATTATAAACATTAACTGCTGTGTTTATTAGAATTAGTGCAGAGAAATTGGGACTCTGAGACCAGAGACCTGGGTTCTAATATCAGGTCCCCAGAATAATCACTATACTAATTATAATTATCACTTTTATACTCTGTTAGTAGGTCCTTTATACACACTACCATTAATCCCCACCATAAATTAATTTCCAACGTCAGTATTACATCTCTTTATAGATAGATAAACCTGAAAGTTTATTTTTCAAGATAATATAGATTTTCTGTGATCATGCTATGATTCCAACACAGGTTATGTCTGATTCTGAATTTGGCACATTTATCTAACTCACATTGCCTTTCTTCCTAACTAAAAATAGTTTTTCAAGATTAGGACCCTGTTTCCTTATCTGTCAAACAGGGATAGTCATATCTGTCACTCCTGTCTTAAAGTGTTAATGGAATACTGTGATATTACCTATATTTTGTTTGGAAAGAAAAAATATTTGATTAAATACCAGACAGACCTTATAAATGTGGTCAACTTTAGCATTATCGCTTGTCTAAACAGTATTTTACTTTTTAAGGTGGTGGTATCATGGATACAGAAATGTCTGAAGATATAGACCACAACTTAACTCCTACCCTTGACAGCATGCCGTATTGAATGCCGAATCAAACAGGATCTGAAAATTCATTGCTGGATGAAGATGATTATTTTTTGAACTCTGGGGATCTTGCAGGAATTCCAGTCGTTGGTAGTGACAATGAGGATGAACAGGATTTTAGTTCAAAAGACAATCTTGTTTCTTCAGTTCATACTGACGATAGCTTGGAAGTAGAGAGAAGAGTCACACAGCATGAATCAGACCATGAAAATGAAATACAGATTCAAAATAAATTTAAAAAAGACTTTCCTAAACAGTTTGATCAGGTTTCTGTCTTTAAATCAATACGGAAAGATTTTAGTCTAGTAAGAGAAAACAGCAAAGACACATTTTCTGGAAAGGAGAAAAATAGAGACCTAACTTATGAACATGAAAAACAGTTGGACAAATCCCATAAAGAGGTGGATTCAAGGTTGAAAAGCAGTTTTTTTGATAAAGCAGGTAATAATTGTTGGAATAGAGCCATAAGCCACAATCAGTAACAACATACTTATAATAATATAGGTTTTATTACTTCTGATGCTAAGTGAAGTATATGAACAGTTAAATTCATTGTAAGCTTGTCATTTTTTTTTATCCTTGTTCTTTGCAGAGTGACTGAATTTCTCCCCGTAACTTTTGGTAATGGTATAAATGGTTGAAAAATAGCTCTAAACCTCATTTCTCCCTCCCTTGGTTGCAATATTTTGATGAGAAGGCAAGATACTCGAATCACCTGTTCATTTTCTTTGGTTGAACATTGGAACCTGAAGTTGGATTTAACTTCTTTGTGCTGTAAGCACTAATTCAAACTGCTGTCCCACCAAATTAGGGAGGGTTTTTCTTTTTGATAACATTTCTATTTTATGTTTTAGAAGTTTCTTGAGGCTCTTCTTGAGCCTCTTTGCTCAGTGTATCCTGTACTTTAACTCTAGTTCCATTCTTGAGTACATCATATATTTTCCTCATGCATCCTTTTTCTATTACTGTTCTATTTGCCTGCATGCCATTTTCTCTCTTTGTATATATGTTTGTAAAAGTACTTTTTATTCACAATGCCTACCTCATAAACCTCTACTACTCTCTAGTCACCACTAACCTTCCTGTATCAAGAATGAATTGTTTTCTTATCTATATTTTCATAGCATTTTGTTCATGCTTCATTATTTATAGTCCTTCTCACACAGTATTATAGTTTTGTATTTATTTTTGCCTTACATACTAGTGTAGGTGTTTATGGAGGGTCAGATTGTATCTTATTCATCTTTGTATTCGTGGTTATAGTGAACATAATGTTTCAATAAATATTCAGAAAGAAAGGTATAATTTATCAACCTTAAATTTCTTCTGACAATGCTTGGAGAAATACGGTAGAAAGAACAAATCAGTATACATTTTCAGTATCCCCTGTAGTGATATTGAACATTATGAGGCTACTTATCCTCAAGTAACGTAATGTCTGGTAGTAGAAGGGACAAGACAAGTATTAGAAGTGTCAGTGACCAGTTGAATAGCATAGATTTAATTTATTGTTAAAGAAAGTGGTGGAAGAGTTTGTCATAAGGCAGGCAGTACATGAAGATTTTCAAATTATTGAAACAGGGTTTTGGATATTTCTAGAGATGATTTTTAACTTATTGGCCAGAAAAGGTTTTAAGGTTTTATAGAGGAGAGGTGAATTTTGACCTGAGCTGAGTCTAGAAGACTGTATAAAGATTAGGATAGATAAAGGGGACTTGGAATGATATAAGCAGAAATGGGGAATAACAAAAAAGTAATTTACAGAGCACAGCGAATAAAGTAACCACTATTTAGATTTGAGAAGGAAAAGTGTGAGATGAGGCTAAAAGTTAGATGGTGTGAGATTGTTTACTGTGAATGAAACTACCTTTTGGGTGTTCTTGGGGGACCCATCTCATGCTAATGAGCATCTTTGTTGGAAACGAGAGGTGATTATCAAATGATAGCTTTTTAGGTTACTTTTTATGTAAGATTTGTTATTCATATACATGTGTTTGTTTTTGTTTTGTTTTTCTTTCAATAGCTAATCAAGTTGAAGAAACATTACATACTCATTTACCACAAACCCCAGAAACAAACTTTAGGGTAAGTTTTCAGTGTGTATGTAGAATGCTGTAACTGTGGCAAGTGTCAAAGTTTTCTTTATGTTACTTTCTAAACTGTAACTATATGTAGTAGGTAGAGCGCTGATTTTTATTTTATTTGCTTTATTATTTTGGAAAGGACATCTTTGGAAATAAAGTCTCAGCTCTTAGATTATTTGTACTTGATATTTAGACATTTACTTTTAGGTGTAGGGATTCTAATGAATGTCCATAGAGTTCTTCATTTCTGATGAGTTTTTCTTTGGGTGTTGAACCTGAAGAGGAATAAATCTAAAACCTGAATATTTATTAATCCTTTATATTGTGTTTTAGGATTCCAGCTATCCATTTGCCAATAAAGAACCCATTGGTTCGGAACTGGGGAATTCCTTTGCATCAAATATTAGAATTAAAGAAGAACCTTTGGATGAGGAGTATGACAAAGCACTGGCACCACAGCAGGGACTGCTAGACAAAATTAAAGACGAACCTGACAATGCTCAAGTAAACATTTCACCTTTTTTTTCCCCCCTTCTTTTTGTTTTGCACATGAATTATTCATTTGAGAGCAGATGTTCTTGATTAAAAAGTGAAGTAGTTTGTTGACAGGGTGAGAGGAGACTCTTAATGAAAGTTGAGACAATTTGAATTATCTTGTGAGAATAATGCTAAGTAATCAACAGGAGTTATATGAAATATTTCCTGACTAGTAATTAGGCTTTTTAATCCCGTTTGTTCCTAAATACCACTGTACTCTGATTTTTACAGTTTCAGTGCAGAATTAGGGAAAGTGTGAGTCTTCAAGGATTAGAGATTGATATAGAAGATAGGGCTGAAGGTTTATGGTGGTTCATTAGTTTATGGTTTGATTGAGCTTATATGAATAAGTCTTTGCAGTTACTGCTAGTGGAGGACAGGCTATGTATAGATTTAAATGTTTTTCAGGAGGGGAGTAATAGACAGGCTATCTTTGGAAGGATTAATTGATTGAAGAACCAGGTCATTGGATCAGTGGATAGAAGGTAAAGAAGGGTAATAGGGGATACTAAATTTGAGAACTGAATAATAAAGGTAGGGATAGAGCTCTGCTATTTCAGTTTATCTCTGGAGGTAAAAGTCATAAGAGCTATCCTATAAGCCAGCGAAGTTATTCATCCAGTTAGTGACATTGCAGTGGTTAGGATGAAAGAAAGAAGTTATACCAGGCACTGTAATCATACTGGAATATGGGAAGGAGAACAAGGGATGAATACACAATAGTAGCAATTATTTGAGGGTTGTCTATGGTTTATACAGATCACATTAATTCAGAGGCTGAGAAAGCAAAGATAGTATGAATTAGCTCTTTCTCTGAAATGACAGTTAATCTGGAGGAAAGCTTGCTTTTCCAAATCTTCCTGTTATACTAGGGGGTTTGAGAACGTAAGACTTCTGTGTAAGAGATTTTTTCATTCAGGTGTCTTTGAGCAGGGTTTCTCAACCTCAGCACTGTGACATTTTGGGCCAGATAATTCTTTGTTGTGAGGGGCTGTCCTGTGCATTGTAGGATATTCAGCAGTATTTTTGGCCTACTAGATGGCTATAACAATGCTGCCCCCTGCCCAAGTGTTTCCAGATGTTACCAAACGTCTTCTGGGGGACAAAATTGTCTGTTATTGAGAACCACTGTTTTAGAGTAAGGAGATAGAAGAATAGACAATTTATAGATAATAGGTGATCGGTACAGTCAGATTGTTGCTCAGTTAAGCAAGAATTTTATGGTGTGTAGTGGAAGGTAGCTATATAGTGATGATAAAGCTGTAGGAGTTGGATGGGTATGGGTGTAGTGGCTACAAAGAAGATGGTAGAGAAGGAACATGAAAATATTTGAATAGAAGGTAGATTGTGAAAGGATATTTAACAAAAGCAGGCAAAATGGAGATCTTGGATATCTGAATTAGGGGTAAGGAAATGTCTTGACATCTAGGGAAAATTTATGTGGCAGTGTATGCCTCAGAAAACTACACCATGTATGTCTATAGGGCCTGTCTCTTTATCTCTTTACACATCCCAGTGTGGATATGGGAAATCCATAAGGAATCATGATGGTGGGTTACCAAAGGCATCCCATTCTTACTGTACATGATCCAGTGACACTTTTCTTGGACAAAAAGTCAGTTACAGCAAAAACCAAATACATTGAGGAGGAGGAGGAGTTATTGGTACTATTGTTCTGAAAATAATCAGAGGTTCTAGTGGCTGGAGAATTCCATAAGACAAAGAAACATCTACATTTTTATATTCTATTCAGATTGTAATGATGTGTTATAAAATGCTGAAGGTGAAGTTTCATCATGATTACGGGGAAGAACTTCCTCAAAGGCTCACCACCTGTTTGTGGACTCTTGTGAGAACCAAGAAGAAATGTGGGATGTGTGTAGGTCCTAGGCATAAGGTCCTGAAGCATTCTTTACCCTGACCCTTCAATAAGGTATCCCAGTATGTGAGTGGGTAAAACTTCTTTTCTCTAAGAAGTTGTACCAATCCTGTAGAAGCAGATCTTTGATAATTCTTCCAGAAATCCCTCAGGGGACCTCATGTTAAACTGGTTCTTCCTTTTCTTTTTCCTCCCCTTTTCTTTCCTTCTACTTTCCCTATGTTCCCTCACCTCTGTTTTCCTCCCTCCTCTCCCTTCTTCATTGTTCTGTTCTTTCAGGTCTTTCTTTCCCGCAACCATTAGAAACCTGTATTTCTTGCTGTTCACTACTGCTAATGCTTTATCACTTAAAAAACAACAACTTTATTGTTGAAAGTATTACAGATATCCCCTTTTTTCTTCTTCTGTTGACCCCCTCAACTCCACTTCTGCTCCCTCTCCAGGCCTTTCCTGCACTATTATTTGTCCTTGGGCTATGCATATATGCATATAAGTTCTTTTATTAACACTCCCTTTCCCTTCTGAAATACATCAGTCTGTTGCATATTTCAATATCTCTGGATCTATTTTGTTCATCAGTTTATTTTTATTAGATTCCACATATAAGTGAGATCATATTATACTTGTCTTTTTCTGACTGGCTTATTTCGCTTAGCATAATACTCTCCAGGTCTCTCCATCCTGTCTCAAAGGGTAAGAGATCCTTTTTATATAGCTGCATAGTATTCCCTTGTGTAAATGTACCACAGTTTTTAAACCCATCAATCTACTGATGGGCCCTTGGGCTGTTTCCAGATCTTAGCTATTGCAAATAAGGCTGTGATGAACATAGGGGTGCAGGGTGCATATATTCTTTGATTGGTGTTTCAGGCTTCTTAGACTATATTACTAGAAGTGGGATCAGCTTTATCACTCTTACTCATTTCCCATAGACTGGAAAAGAGAGTTCAAATGTATTATTATAACTATTAATCTGAGGTTCATAAAATGCTGGTAGATTTTATTTTTGACCATTAATTCCTAGTAGTAGCTTTTCTCATGATTTAATAAGATCATAGCTTTAGCTCATGGCACCTTGTCAAAACCTCCCTTGGCTTTTCTCTTGGCTTAACTTGTAGTTTTGCTTTCAGCTCACTCTATAATTTTCCTTGTATGATTCATTTGGTTTTAACTTCTTTCCCATATAAATCACTAAAGTGCTAAAATGTGTTCTTATAAATTTCACTGCTTCTACTTATTTGCTCTTGATTATTTTTTCTTTTACAATTTTCTGGATTTGTCCATTATCATTCTGTTTGTTACTGGTATAACATCATTTGGCCTCCCAGTTTCATTTCCATAAATCCCATCGCATGTCACATTTCTTCATTCAAATCTCATTGCATGTCGCTATAGTATTTTCTGTGGTATTTTTACAGTTACAAGATATTTTTATGTGTGCTGTGTTGTTTCATCTTATTTCATAAGGCCAGAGTAGATGATACTAACTCTATTTGTAAATAAGGAAACAGGTTCTAGAGGATAAGTTAATTATACAAGGAGCCAATCTAGTACCACAATCAAGTTCTTACTTTTATTAGTCTACCAATCTTTTGGTAAATAAAAGTTGTTTAATTAAAAAAGAAAACCTACAGAAGGTTTTAAAATAGAAACTTTAAAGAGTCAGAGAACTCCATTTTTTTTATACGTTCTAAAAGTTGGAAATTCAGTAAATGTTACATCAAAATCATTTTTTTACCTTTTTGCACATAATAAAAGGAGAGCTAATCTATAATCTTTCATTGAAATAAATGAATTAGAATGAGAAGGCAAATTATTTGTCACAATAGTGAGTGACATAGTCTTGGAAGTCAGAATTCAGTAATTAAATGTTGGGGCCTTTTTTAAGTCATATCAAGTTAACTTGCTATAGGAGGAAGTGGGTTCTTTATTTCTAAAATACTTTCTTGGGATAGTGATATGTATCTTCCTTTTTGGTAAACAAAGGGAAGTTAAAGGTATTGGTAAAGGATCTTTTTTTGTGTTTTGTTTTGAACCTGTTTTTCTGCTCTGAAAGCTTTTGGGTCATCAGATTTTCACTTCTGAAGTTATTAGTCATTGGTTTGTTATTAAATTTGTAAATTTAGTTATTATAGTGGGAATCTTAAAATAACATGATTCTGCCTTGAAGCCATTGTGAGGTGAAGAAACAGAGTACTTAAGATATATACTTATTTTATTGTATTACATGAGTAATGTATATTTGAGGCTTACAGAATGTATCAGAAATTTGGAATAATTGTTACTGACAGCTGATGGGAGACCATTAAAATATGCCAATAAATATTGATTTTTATCTGGAGTTTTCTGAGATAAAAGAAGTTGTTTTTACTTAAAATTTACATTGTGGTATATAACATTGGAATGTTAAGATTGGTCAATGTTAGAAAATCTTTTAATATATAACTTTACTAACAGGTCAAGTAAGACTATCTAGGTAGATATATAGATGCCAGAAGACATCTCATGTAATTCACTATGCATTTCTTGTAATACTCTCTTGATCATGGTAAGGAAATACCTACTTCAGATCAATAACAGTCATTGAATTTAAAACTAAAGTGATGGAAACTTGTTAATTACTAAAAGACCACAAATTACTGATTCATCATTGTTATTTAACTCTTGTTGGATTTCGCCCCAATATAGTATGTTAAAGAAACTAGAAATAATGGAAAAGGGGAGACAGAATTATCGTCATTTGCTGGTAAGGATCTTTATTAGAAAATTAGTAGAACTCGTGAAAGTTTAATGGACTAGCTAGTTGAATATTAAATAAAAGATAGCAATATTCTATAAATCATATTTTCTCAGTTAGATAATATGATAAGAAGATATACTATTTTCTATAGCAAAGCAACTAAAATGTCCTATGTTAGATGAAACTTGAATAAATGGTGAGACTTTTTTTTTAAAAAAGTAAGATATCAGTTATTTCTAATTAAGGTATAGGTTTGATATAATTCTGATGAAAATATCAATATGTTCTGATGTTTTGAAGGAGTAAACAGGCATCCACATACCACGTTACATATATGTTCTAAAGATAGATAGATAGTGACAAACCCTAATAATTGGTTAAACATTCCGCAATTATTTTCATTAGAATAGTGTGATTTTATAAGGTTAGTGAGGCTAATAATGATACAGAATGGATTGCCACAAAAAAGATACTATATTTAAAGGAATTAGACATATTAATGATGAATGGAAGGAATTCACCAGCTATTCAGAGAAAGAAAAAGAATAATGCCTATCTATAATAATGAGTGGATATGCCAATTAGACCAGACATCCTTCCAGACAAAGCCGGACCTGGGAGGGAAGCCTGGGTCCCGGGTGCCAGAAGGAAGCCAGTGCCAGCAGCCATTGTACTCTTGCACAATTTTCGTGCATCGGGCCTCTAGTTATACATAAAAATAAATACCAGGTGGATTTAAAGTAGGGGCTGGTAAAATTATCAGTGATGGGCTAACCCAGCTTATCCTCTGTGTTTCTGTCTTGTTTTGCTTTTTTTCCTTGCATACATTTTTTTGTAAATGAAGTTTTATTGGAGTATTGCCACATTCATTTATTTTCATATGGTTTCTAGATGCTTTTGCTGTACTATGGCAAAGTTGAGTGGTTCTGATAGTATGGCTTGCAAAGTTAAAAATACTTAATATCTGACCCTTTGCAGATAAAGTTTGTGGACATCTGGATTAAAGAACTGTATTATAGACAATGAAACCACATTCTTAGAGTTTGTTGCAGAAGTAGAACTTTGTAAGAAATAGAAGGAATCACAAAGGTAAAAAGTGTCAGCATTTTGGCATAAAAATGGAAACTTCAGTACATAAAATTTCATCTCAAAGTACATAATGAGAAAATGTTGATACCAGATGTTACAGAGGGCTAATACTATTACAGTATACTTTTTTATAAATAGATATTAGAAAAGAATTGCAAATTGAAACACCAATGGGGAAAAGACTTTTAAATGGCTTTTTTCACAAATTACTAGAACAAATATAATTAAGTGATACTTGTTTGTTTTTTAAACAATATCATTGCGTGTCAGGAACTTTTACTATGTATTTGTTTACTTAGTAATTCCACTATAAGGATCATTTCTTTTAGGAGTTAATCCTAAAAATGAGAATTTGAGTATTCACAAAGAAGTTCTTCATGAAATGTGTGAAAAATGGAATGACACTGGGTTGGGGTTATGTAACTCTATGTCATGCTGGACCATGAAAACGGAGCCTCAGTCCAAAGGAAAAATCAGTAATACTGATCTTGTTCTTATTTATTTCAAGTTTTGATACTATATTAGTCATGGATTTTGCATTTTTTATTTTAAAAAGTATTGCATTAACATAATTTTTTATCTTGATTATTGATATTTTCGGTGCTTTAATTTTATGCCTGAGGCAAGTGTCTCTCTCACTTCAATCCAATCTCTTTCCTGTATAATCTGTTACATCTGTTAAAATATATCAGTATTTCTCAAACTTGAGGAGTAATATACAGATACCCCTCACCACAAAGAAAGGGAGTATTGTTGGAGTTACCTGAGAATTCCAAGAATAAGAAGTCTTGCGGGATTTTTGCAAGTCCAGTGTGATAAACAATGAATTAATCTACCACTTTGCAGTTTCTCAATGCAATAATATAATAAAAGTAAACAATAGCAATGAAAACTGGTAGTATAACTCAGTTATATGTGGTTATTTATGACTTTAAGTATGTTTACATTCACTAAAAATGTCATTGAAATAAAAACACAGTTTTAAAAAATTATTTTAGAATTCTCAGACTCCCCATATTATATCTATAGACCTCAAGGACTCTTGGACTCCAAATTAAAAAACACTGATGCTTAACCACTTAGACGTGGAGTAATATTTAATATGCAAATGTTCAGTTGATTCAAGTGATCAAAAAAATCATTTTATGAGAATGGTGTATTTAGTATAATCGCAAAGAAATAAAACCTCTGAATGCAGGAGGGGAAAGAAGACTAGAAAAAAATATACCTAAAGAATAACAGTGATTGTTTTGAGGTGATATAAATATGATTAGAATGTTTTTTTTCTTTTTTAAAAAAATATATTTTATTGATTTTTTACAAAGAGGAAGGGAGAGAGAGTTAGAAACATGTATCAGCTGCCTCCTGCACATCTACTGGGGATGTGCCACAACCAAGGTACATGCCCTTTATCAGAATCGAACCTGGGACCTTTCAGTCTCCAGGCCGACGCTCTATCTACTGAGCCAAACCGGTTTCGGCTAGAATGTTTTTCTTATTCCTATATGTCTAAATTTTGTATAGTGGGTGTGTATTACTTTTATAATAGGTAAACAGCAACTTAAAATACTGTAATATTAAAATTTTAAAAAATGATTTGTAATTATCTGGTAGTACATACCATAAGCTAATTAGGTAACTGCTTTCATATTTGGCTTTTTATTCTCTCAGCATATACAAATTTACTCCCTTATTGTAAATATATGTTGCTGCTGTGTTGTTGTTTTTTTTATTAATGTGTAAATAAACATTTTCCACCCCTATATAGCTATTGTAAAATGTCTTCAATGTTTGTATTTATTCTTTCCTCTATGTATTCATTTCATTTTGTTTTGTTTTTAAAGGAGTTTAATCATGGCCAACAGCAAAAAACTCAAGAGGGGGAACTGAAAATTAGTGCTGTGTTTTCAGTCAGTGGCAGTCCTCTTGGTAAGATACAGAACTGAATGATTATATTTATTTATTCTGACCAATATGAGTGAGAAGTATCTACTTGTATTAGTAAACTAAGCAGTTCTCTCTGCCCAGTTAGAATGGCTTTAACTGCGTATTGCTTAATTAGTATTGAGTTTCAAGACCAGTTCTAGAAGAGAAAGGAAGATTCATACTTAAAATTCATGGTCAAAGTAAAACATTTTCTTTCAAAAAAAAATTTTTTTTTTAAAGCTCCACAGTTGACTACTGGCTTCCAGCCTCCTCTGGCGTCATCGGGCATGAATAAAATGCTACCTTCAGTTCCAGCCACAGCTATTCGAGTTTCCTGTTCTGGTTGTAAAAAAGTTCTACAGAAGGGGCAAACTGCTTATCAGAGGAAAGGGTCTACGCAGCTTTTCTGTTCTACACTGTGCCTCACTGGATATACAGTTCCACCCGCCCGCCCACCACCTCCTCCCACCAAGAAAACTTGTTCAAGTTGCTCTAAGTATAGCAGAATTCTAAATTATCTTCTTTGTTTTCTTTCTTTTAAGATACTTTGTTCTTATCCGTGTATTGTTTAATTTTCTACATTTCCATGGTTTTTGAGAAATATCACATTATTTAGTACCAACAGATAAGTTGTTGTTTTTCTTTTTTCTGGATGGCAGGTGCTCAGCTTTCTTTTAAACTTCAAGTTCATGGTCAAAGTAAAACTTTAAATAATGCACCTTTTCTATATTAGAGATGTTTTTGAAACCAATCTTTTCATCCTTGTTAGTTGAGATACTTTATGAAACAAAAATTATACCATTTTAGGGGTATTATATGGCCAAAAATATTTTGGTTTGCAACTGTAGGCAATAGATACTTAAATCCAACGAATATTTGAAGTTATATTTCCTACTATATAATTAGAATTCATTTAATACTTTCTTCTTTACATGGATTCAAATATGCATATATACACACACACACACACAGTGTTTAACAACAAAAAAGTGTGTGTGCCCTTAGACCTTATAAGGACATCCTGATATATTTGAATAATATGTACTAATTTTGTAAGGCGATTGATAGAAATTTTAAATATGTCAGAAAAAGATGAATGATGCCTTGTTCTAATAATAGAATCACGTTGGCTTCTATTATTAACCTATGCAAACCATGCTTTAGTAGTTTAGATATTTGTGTTAAAGTTCCTCATGTGGATGCAGCTCTTTCTCTGTGGAAAAAGACGCTCCCTCTTGTGGTTCAGTTGGAAAAAGGCATATAGACAAAAAAAGAAGTTTGAATATGGTTAGATATTTTTCTGGAAGTTAGTCATAAGCACATCTCTTTATGTTTAAAGTTTAATTACCAGAGATAGATTTCCTTCTTTATACTGTTTGAATTGTGAAACGTGCTTTTAGAATTGAGTACTTAATATACCACATGGCTAATGTCTATATTCTGGTATATTAATCATCAGATTCAAAGATTAAATCAACTTAATGTTATAATTTTTGTAGTTTCTTATTTTGCAATGAAATAATTTTACAAAACTTTCTATTATGTTTCTTGATTCGTACTTTGGGGATCAGCACTTTTTAAAATTTCAATAATATTTCTCTTTTCTAATAATCATAGATACTTCTTTAAAAGAATGAGTGGGTTTCAAAATGACCATAGAAAACTCAAATAAGTTTTAAATATTTTTTTTATTGATTTCAGAGAGGAAGAGAGGGATAGAGATATAGAAACATCAATGATGAGAGAGAATCGTTTTTTGGCTGCCTCCTGCATGATTCCTAACTGGGGATGGAACCTGCAACCCAGGCATATGCCCTGACCGTGAATCGAACCATGACCTCCTGGTTTGTAGGTCGACACTCAGCCACTGAGCCAAACCATCTGGGCTCAGATGAATTTTAAAATGTATACCCTCTTTCTGTGCTTTCTAATTCTTGTCTACGTACAAGGTAGGTGAAAAGTAGGTTTACAGTAGTTCTTTTGGATAATAATACAATAATTAAGAAATAATTATACAAGAATAAACTGTGCTTCTCATCACGACTGTAAACCTACCTTTGCCCACCTTGTATGTTATGATTTTCATCTAAATTTATTATATTCATTTAGTTTGTGGTGTTTGCCTAGTGTTATCTGGTGATAGGTCATTTTTACCAACATGTCATATCTTATCTATCTTGATCTTATGTGATGTAATTATTCTTTAAGATTGCATTATACACACACACGCGCGCACACACACACACACACATACACTTATTGATTCAGAGAGGGAGAAGGAGAGAGAGATAGAAACATTAATGATGAAAGAGAATCATTGATTGGCTGCCTCCTGCACGCCCCCTACTGGGGATTGAGCCCACAATCCGGGCAAGTCCCCTTGACTGGAATAGAACCTGGGACCCTTCAGTCCACAGGCTGACGCTCTATCCACTGAGCCAAACCAGCTAGGGCTAACATTACATTTTTTATTGCTGTTTAGTCTTATCCATACATTTTCTCTTTTTTTTCAACCTGGCATTCATTGACTTTTTTTTTCTTTAAATCATCACCTAAGGATATGTTTATTGATTTTTAAAGAGAGGAGGAAAAGTGGGAGAGAGCGAGGGAAGGAGGGATGGAGGGGGGAAAGGAGGGAGAGAGAGAGAGAAGGAGAGAAAAAGAGAGAAAGAAAGAAAAAGAGAATCATCGATGTGGGAGAGAAAACATCTTTTGGTTGCTGCCTGGACACACCTTGACCTGGGATCAAACCTGCAACCTAGGCATGTGCCCTGATTTGGAATTGAGTCCAGCACCTTTTGGTGTCCAGGATGATGCCCAAACCAGTTGAGCCACCTGACCAGGGCTCATTCCTTGACTCTTAATTGTTCTACCGACTTCATTCACTTACTCTGTTTGGCTTTTTATTTATTTATCCCTTGTTCTTTTTCATTTGCCTCTTTCAGGTTTTCTTACCTACTTATCACCTCAGCCCTTTCTTCTTCATTTTCTTTCTTACTTTTCCCCCTCCTCATTTTACAGAATACCCCTGTCTAAGGCTCAGTCCCCAGCCCCTGATCAGTCTTGGTTTTCTTTGTATATAATTTTCATTCCTGAACTACTACTTTTTCATCTCCTTTTCACCACTTTACCTTTTCCCCCTGTTATTAACACAGTCATTATAACAGTCTGGGATAATCTGGCTATCCGATTATCAAATTATTGAATTGGATTGTACCTTAAAAGGAAATTATATTCAAAGAAATTTAAAGATTTGTTCAGTGGTACATAACTGGTTAATTTTGGCACATGCACTATCCTCCCTTTCTCCAATAATCAATATAGTTAAACAAGTTTAATTTGTAAGTCAATCCCTATAAGAAGGATTTCAATTTAGTTTGAATAGGTGGAGCTAGAAAAGATTTTCTTTCTGATAGTTACTGCTGCTTTTATAGCAGCAGTATTTAGGTTGAAAGAAACTCATTAGTTTGGGACTAACAGTTTTATTTTTCTTAATCTTTTATTTATCATTACAGGCCCGGTGCATAAAATTCAAATTCGTGTGTGTGTGTGTGTGTGTGCGCGCGTGTGTGTGTCTGTCTGCCTGTCCCTCAGCCCACCTGCACCCTCTCTAATCTGGGACATCCCTCTCACAATCCAGGACTGCTTGCTCCCAACCGGTCGCCTGCCTGCCTGACTGATGCAACCTGATTGCCCCTAACTGCCCTCTCCTGCAGGCCTCGGTTTCCCCCCAGCTGTCTTCCTTGCAGGCCTGGTTGCCCCCAACTGCCTTCCCTTGCAGGCCGTGCCCCTCCCAACTGCCCTCCCCTGCTGTCCGATCGCCCACAACTGCCTTCCCCTGCAGGTCATCTTGTGGTGGCCATTTTTGACCACATGGGGGTGGCCATCTTGTGTGTTGGAGTGATGGTCAATTTGCATATCACCTCTTTATTGTATAGGATATCTTTTAGTATCTTGGATTTAACTAAAACAATATATTTTGGCTAATCATCATTTAATTTTTAGTTTCCTTAGTCATAGGTACCTAATGATTTGTTTTTTAAAAAGTGTATTTCTGCCCAGCCAGTGTGCTCAGTGATTGAGTGTCCACCCATGAACCAAGAGGTCATAGGCTCAGTTCCCAGTCAGGGCACATGCCTGGGGATTTGGGACTTGATCCCCGTAGGGGGCATGAAGGAGGCCACTGATAGATGTTTCTCTCTCATTGATGTCTCTATCGCCCCATTCTTCTCCCTTCCTCTGTCTTTCTAAAATCAGCAAATACTTCTTAAAATATATATATATATAATGTATGTATTTCAAATCCTACACAAAGAGGTAATTTTTAGTATAATTTTGTTAGTACTATTAGAAAAATTAGATTTCTTTATATAGTAGCACTCAAGGAAATAACTGTTTCAGGATTCTCTGTACCATTTCTGAATTTTTACTATCTGAATGAGATTGCTTCTTATTCTGGAATAACATGTACTCAGCTACAATAAGATATAATGTAATTGGACACTAAGCATACTTGAGAGCAGTGAGAAATACCTACATTTTTGTTATGTTTTATACTTCCATTACCTTCATTCATACTGTTTCCCAATTCTTTATCTCCTTAACTTTTAGAAAATTCTTATTAAGGTCTAGTTCAAATGTCATCTTCTTTTGGGTAGCCTTTCATGTCACATAGTGTCTGAAATAATTGTTCCTCATTTCTGTTTCTACATAGCACTTTATATGTATCTTTTTCAAAAGTATTACATTACTCTTTTATATTTTAAGGATGCTTCTTTTATGCTATTTGATATATCATTTGTCTGTTTGTCCCAATATACTAGGAGCTCCTTGAGTGCATGCTTGCACTGTATCTTGACATAGGAGTTAGCTAATGCCTGGCTCAATACAACTGCTCAATAAATACCCTTGTAAATGAAATACAGTAAAACTTAATTAAAAATGCAACAACTATAAAGGCAAAAAAAATGCAGAGTAGTCTGGAGCTATTAACTATAGAATATGAGGTATGAAGTTGTGTATTGCAGTGTAGTGTGGTATCAGGTGTTCTTTATCATGATTCTCATGTTTAGTGTTATCTTGTATTGACGCAGAGATATTTGTAATCTTTTCTAAAAAGTACTTTATTAGTATAACCTATTAAAGATGCAGGAATTAATAGAACACAGCTTATTCACTATTATGTGGGTGTGTACTCATAGGAAAGAGATACTCTTTAGAAAATTTATCAAGGTATTTTAAAAAATTTATTTTTTGCCCTGGCTGGTGTTGCTCAGTTCGTTGGGATCATCTGGTGTACCAAAGGGTTGCTGATTTGATTCCCAGTCAGGGCACATGCTTGGGTTATGGGCTCGATCACTTGTGGGGGGCATGCAGGAGGCAGCCAATGGATGTGTTGCTCTCACATGCATGTTTCTCTCTCCCTCTCCTTTCTCTCTCTTTAAAAAAATCAATGAACAACCATTCTTTTATAAAAAAAATGGTTTTTAAAATGCTTTACACTTAAACTAGTATATAGGAAGACTGGTTTGTGGGGGATGGGTGGAGTGGTAGATGCTTCAGATAGAGGAACAGATAGAGGAACCTTAATCCCTAGGATTTTTATCTCTATTCCCTTTGTAAGTGATGCCTACAAATTAAATTATTTAGATATAGAAATGGTTCAATACTATATAATCATGCTAGAATATACATTGTAGGTTGAAAGATGTCCTTACTTTTAAAAGATAGTTCTTTACAAAAATTTTAAGTATTAATGTTTTTAAAGAATATTTTGAAAATATAGAAGAG